TAGACGATCCTAATTAAATATCATAATAGACGATCCTAATTAAATATCATAATAGACGTCAAATATCAAAATAGACGATCATAATCAAAAAATGATAGTAAAATATCATAGTATAAGATGTGAAGGCAAATCTACTAGTTTATTGTTTTCTATTATAGAAAAATAATAGAAAAATTATAGGAAAACAAGTTAAAAAAAAAAAAATAAAGGAGAATTTTATGATTATAGGTTCTGATTTCTTTTTGAAGGTACTCAATTCTGTTGTTGTAGTCGGACTGTATTATGGATTTCTTACCACATTTTCAATAAGGTCCTCTTATTTCTTTTTTGTGCGAACTATGGTTATGGAAAAAGAACCAAATACAAATAAGAAGGTAGCAGCAACCACTGGTTTTTTTATGGGACAGCTCATAAGATTCGTATCCATCTATTATGCGCCCCTTTATCTAGCTTTGGGTAGACCTCATACAATAACTGTCCTTGCTTTACCTTATCTTTTGATTCAGCTTTTCTTGAACACTGAAAAAAAAATTTTTGCTTATGGATCTAATAACCAAAATTCAATCCGTGATCTAGAGAATATCTTTGTATTCCTCAATCATCTTATTTTTCAGTTGCTTAACATTTGTATTTTACCAAGTTCAACGTTAGCCCGATTAGTAAGCATTTATCTGTTTCGCTGTAACAATAAGATGTTGTTTGTAATAAGCAGTTTTTTTGCTTGGGGAATTGGACAAATTTTAGTCATCAATTGCTTGGAATTTTTAGTAGTCTGGATACAGAAAAATTTAGTAATCTGGATACATAAAAATAATGTTATTAGAAAGTACCTAGTCAGAAATTCTATCTTTTTTATTTTACTAAATTGTAGTTTTGGAAGTATAGTATGTATTCTAAGTATTCAGTCTTTAGGCAGAACACCCTTACCTATTCCTACTCAGAAATTTAGTGAGGTCTCAAAAATAGAACAAAGGGAAAAGGAAAGGTTGCAAAAGGAGGAAGAAAAAGACGTAGAAAAAAAAAAGAAATCCACTGAAGAAGATCCTTCCCTTTTTTCCGAAGAAAAGGGTATTTTGGAAAAAGAATTGGACTTGAAAGTAAACGAACCGGACTTGGAAGGATCTGATTCTGAATTGGAAATCCTTGAAAAATATGAAAATAAAGAACATATTGTGGCTCTTCTTTTTGATTATAAAAGATGGACTCGGCCATTTCGCTACATAAAAAATAATAGACTTGAACAAGCGGTAAGAAACGAAATGGCACAATATTTCTTTGACATACATAAAAGTGATGGAAAAGATAGAATATCTTTTACCCATCCGATAAGTTTATCAACGTTTTTTTCAAATAATCAAAAAAAAGATACCCCTTTTATCATTAGAAAAAGATATTTCTAATAAATTGGACAATTTTTGGGTTTCTAGAAACAAACAAAAATTAAATTCTATAAAAATTGATTTGTTAAATCGAATTAAAAATCTTGACAAACCAGTATCAGTCCCAATACTAGAAATTGAAACAACCAAAACGCGATTATGTATACACAATGATGAGACTAGAAAAGAATACTTACCAGAAGAGTATGATCCCTTGTTAAATGGGCCTTCCCGCGGAAGACTAAAAAAAGATATAACGTTGATAAACGAGACTTCGATCAAAAAGTTGAGAGAGAAGGTTATGCTAAATAGACTTCATGCTTTATTGTTGATGTCTCCTTTTGAAAAAAAGGAAAAAAAAACCATTACAAGTTGGTGAGTTCTCAACTTTATCATCGAGTTTCAATTTAACGGATTCAGAACAACTAACAAAATTTTTAGTAAATGTAATTGAGACAGACGATAAAAAATATTCTGCAATAGAAAAAATAGGTAAAGAAGAGATTGGTAAAAAAGTCCCCGGATGGTCATACAAATTAATAACTGAATTGGAACAAATATCGTATTTTAGAAATCCACCAGATGATCATGATATTCGTTCAAGAAAAGGGATAAGTGTATTAATTTTTGAAGAGCCTAAGACTCTCAAAGATAAGACTACAAACAAAGATAAGAATACAAAAGAGACAAATATTCAAGCTATAAAATCCGACAATGATGAGAAAGATAAAAATATGAAAAAGAAAAAGGAAGATGAGGATAATAAGCTTTATTTGTTACGATATCCGCACCAATCTGATTTTCGCCAAGGCTTAATAAAAGACTCTATGCGAACTCAAAGACGTAAAATAGTTATTGAGGGACTTTTTAAAGCAAATGCGCATTCCCCTCTCTTTTTTGACAGGATGAGGAAAAAAACCTTTTTTTCTATACCATACCTGGCTCAACTGAAACGACTTTTTATAAAATGGTCATCCAGAAACGAGTTCGGTATTTTAGAGTCTACAGAGGAAAAAAAAACAATAATAAAAAGAGAAACCAAAAAGGAAAAGAAACGACGAGAGGAAATAGAACGGTTAGAGATAGGGGAAGCCTGGGAAACTTTCCCATATACCCAAATAATAAGAGGTTTGTTATTAATAACCCAATCAATTCTGAGAAAAAAAATTCTATTACCTTCATTCATAATCGGGAAAAATATAGGGCGTATGCTACTATTTCAAACTCCTGAATGGTCTGAAGATTTAAAGGGATGGAATAAAGAAACGCATGTGAAGTGTACTTATAATGGTATTCCGTTAGCTGACAAAAAATTTCCGGAAAATTGGTTGACAGAAGGTATTCAAATCAAAATTTTATTTCCTTTCTGTCTAAAACCTTGGCACGAATATAAATCACTAACTTCTCGTGATGACTTTTGTTTTTTAACAGTTTGGGGAAGGGAAACAGAACACCCTTTTGGTCATCCACGACAAACACCTTCGTTTTTCGAGCCTGTTTTTAAGGAACTTTACAAATTTGTAAAAGTAAAAATCAAATTTTTAAAAAAGTTTTCAAAAAAAAAAACAAGTTCAAACGAAAAAAGAACAATACACCCGAGTTTAATAAAAAAAGAAAAAGATGATCAAATAAATAACCAGATAATGAATCAACCCTTGAGTAAAATTGAAAAAATTACAGATTGGAAAAATTATTCACACAAAATACAGGCTATTACTCATAGGACAAATACAATTAAAAAAAAACTAGAAAGAATTACGGAAGATAAGAAAAGGCTGACTCTAGAACTAGATATGAGCCCTTACAAAAAAAGTTCGAGATTAGCCTTGTCAAAAAATTTTTGTCAAATGTTAAAAATAAAAAAAAATAGATTAAGATATAAATTTCATTATTTTATAAAATTATTGATTCAAAGAATATCTAACTATATTTTTTTATATACTATATCTATTTGCCAAATGACTGAAAAACTCTTTGTGGAATCAACAAAAATGAACTCTCTTTCAAATATAAAAACGCATAATAATAAGCGTTATAAGGAAAAGCCAGAGAATTTTGGTGATTTATCTAACTTGTCACAAGCATATGTATTGTACAAAATATCACAAAGGAGTTTTTTGAACGTATCTAATTTGATGTCTGTTCTTCAACAAAATGGAACATCTTTCTTGATTGAAAAGAATTTCTTTATTAAAAAAAAAATAAAAGACTCATTTCATAAACAAGGAATACTTCAATCTGAAGGAATAAAAAAAGAACTTAAGCGGTCTAGAACGAGTCAATGGAAATTTTGGTTAAGAGGGAATTCTCAATACGATTTATCTCCTAATTTCTGGTCTGCCTTAAGATCACAAAAACAAAAATGGAGAAATAGGGCGAATCGCTATCGTAGGTCTAAACAAAAAGATTTACACAAAAGGAATTCCAGTAGAAAATTAAAATTAAATAATTACAGGAAACAAAAGGATGCTAACTCAGTATTTAATAAAAAAAAAAAAGATAATTTTAAAAAATGCTGTCAATATGATCTTTTAGCATATCAATACATTCAGTATGAAAAAAATAGTGGACCCCCTCCAGGAGCTAAACGGTATGAAAAAAATAGTGGACCCCCTCCAGGAGCTAAACGGGAAACGATTTCTTATCATTACAAGATGTCACAAAACAACTTGTTTGCGATAACGAAAAATCTTCCTATCACTAGTTTCAGAGAAAAAATAGAAAGGGTCAATATCCCCTATACAGACAAAAATTTAGAGAGAAAATATTTAAATTTGAAAAAGATTAATTTTTCTCTTGATAAAAAAGCGGATATTGAGTCCTGGATCACGGGTAATGATAACAATACTCAAAGTACTCCAATTTTCACTTATAATTATCAATTAATTGATAGAATGGAAGAGATTGTGAAAATTGAGCAAATTTTTAAAAATGAAAAAGATCCTTTTGCTCTTTTGATTCAGACAAATACCGAAGAAAGGAATCTAGTAAATTCTAAAAATTCTTTATTGGATTGGATGGGACTGAATGAAGCAATACTCGACCGTCCATTAACGGCTGAGGAACTTTCGGTCTTCCCAGAATTTCTGTGGTTTGTTAATATATATAAAATGAAACCATGGATTATACCAAGCCAATCACTTATTTCTAATTTGAATCTCAATGATGAAATGACGAATCAAAAGATCGGTAAAATTAAGAATAAAAACAAAGATAAAAAGGATAAAAAGAAAACTGAGGGTGAAACCAAAGGTAAAACTGAGAGTAAAAAAAAAGATAAAGCCGAGGGTCAAACCAAAGGGGAAACTAAAGGTGAAACCAAAGGTGAAACCAAAGGTGAAACCAAAGGTGAAACCAAAGGGAAAACTGAAGGTGAAACCAAAGGTGAAACTGAAGGGGAAACCCAGGGGGAAACTGAAGGGGAAACTGAAGGTGAAAAGAAAAGGAAAAGTCAAACTGAGATAGAACTAGAGTTATTCCTGAAAAATTATTTATTTTTTCAATTTAGAGAGGATGAGGATGTTACTTTTAATCAAGGCCTTTTCCAAGATCTCCAGATCTATTGTCTCTTGCTTAGAATGCTAAATCGAAAAAAAATGATGCTATCATGGATTCAAAGGGAAAAGTTAAATTTGGGTCTAATGCCACAGATGAATCAGGAAGAGAGTATTCAAGATTCAAAAAATTCAAAAAGAAATGTTCCAGATTCAAAACAGAGTGTTCCAGATTCAAAACAGAGTGTTCCAGATTCAAAAAATTCAAAAAGAAATGTTCGAGATTCAAAACAGAGTGTTGCGGATTCAAAAGAGAGTGTTCCAGAATTTTTAAAAAGGACGGGATTTTTTGGTTGACCCCTTTCCGCTGTCTATCAAACCAAACGGAGAATTTCTTATGTATCAAACCATAGTTCTTTCATTGGTTCATAAGAGTAAAGAAATTCTTAATCAAAAATACGTTAAAACAACGAATAATTCGCGCTGAAGAGAACAATAATTGTGATCCGCTTCTTATTGAAAATATTTTATCATCTAGGCGTCGTAGAGAATTAAGAAACTCTAATTTGTTTCAATTCAAACAAATGGAATGGCGTGGATGCAAATTCTCTAGTTCCAACAAAAATCAAGTTTGGGAGGAAAGTAACCCCTCGGCATAAGGATCCGAATAAATTGATTGAATTTTTTCTTTGGCCTAATTATCGATTGGAAAGATTTAGCTTGTATGAATCGTTATTGGTTTAATACTAATAATGGGAGTCGTTTCAGTATGTTAAGGATCCATATGTATTTACCATTGAAATTTAATTGGTGGAAATTTAATTGATAGTAGTACTATCTACCCTCTAGCAGGGTAGATGGTACCAGGTTAGATGAAAAGCAATGAATGGAAATATACCTTATTTTAATTTGTATCTAACTGAATCGAGGATACCATATATTTATTTAGATCTATATAGATACTTTCTCCCTCATCCAAAGAATATTAAGTTGAAATAATTCACTTTTATTTTATTAATGAACCCGAAAAGAGAGGGTTTTCTTTTGATTTGAATTGATAGACTTAGTCTAGAAGAATTCTTTTTTAGCAATAAATGTCTTTCACATCCAGTGATAACCTGTAAATCATTTTAAATGGCAGTTCCAAAAAAACGTATTTCGAAAGCCAAAAAGCGTATTCGTAAGAACATTTGGAAAAGAAAGACTATTGAGGTAAGATTAAAAGCTCTTTCATTAGCAAAATCTCTTTTAAACGGGTAAGTTTACAAGTTTTTTTTACAAAAAAAATAAAAAAAACATTGGATTCATTTCTGTCAAGTTGATTTCTTGTATAATATTTCTTCTTTTTTCTTATCATTTTCTTTCTTTATTTTTCGTTAGTTCGATTTAGTTACTAATCAATTATTTCATATCTATGAAATAAATCTATAACTTAATTATAAAAAATTATTTTAAATGCATATTATATATCAATGAAGGGAGTTCATTTAGTTTATGATAAAAAACTTATCTCTTTCGACTATTTATAAAAACCAAAACCAACAAAACAGAGGTTCCGTTGAATTTCAAATATGGAATTTCACCAATAGAATACACCGGCTTACTTCCCACTTGAAATTGCATAAAAAAGACTATTTATCTCAAAAAGGTTTACGTAAAATTTTGGGGAAACGACAAACGACTTTTAGCTTATTTATCAAAAAAAAAATACATTGCGCTATAAAGAATTAATTGATAAATTGGAGATTAGAGAGACAAAAACTCATTCATTTTGAAGTTGTATAGCTTTTAGAACCTATTTTATACGTAAATTTTAGAACTACAGTCTGGGTACTGAAACAATTACAAAAGAATAGCTCAGGGTAGTGAATAGAAAGACATCATGTCCTTTTGTCTATTGATTCTTACTGTATAAATTTGAAGGGATTTTTTATTTAAAACTTTAAAACGGCAGATTTAGTTAATTCAAAAAAGAATCCTTTTTTACCCTATTAGGTAGTTTGCGTAGTTATAAAAAAAATGATAATATTAAAACATAAAAATTGATAATAATTTACCAAAAAACATAAAATAATTTTTTTTTTATTTTTAAAACCAATCCAGAAATCTAGTGATTAGAATTCTTCTGAAAATTCATTGAGTCATATAGTATCTAAAAACCAAGTATCTTCTAATTTTTATATTGCATAAAAATAATATTTGGAGGATACTATATCGATAATTCATAAAATTTATAAATTTATTCGTTCAATGGCACATTCTGTAAAGATTTATGATACATGTATAGGATGTACTCAATGTGTTCGAGCCTGCCCCACCGATGTTTTAGAAATGATACCATGGGACGGATGTAAGGCTAAACAAATTGCTTCTGCTCCGAGAACAGAAGATTGCGTAGGCTGTAAGAGGTGTGAATCCGCTTGCCCAACAGATTTCTTGAGTGTTCGAGTTTATTTATGGCATGAAACAACTCGCAGTATGGGTCTCGCTTATTGATCTGGTCCAGAAAAGTATATTTGAATTCATTCTATTTTATTGAAAACCCGTGCTCTAAAATAAAAATATTTCATATTTTGTAGCACGGGTTTCATAAATTTTTAGCTTTTCACGAAGTAAAAAATTAATGTCTTTTTTTTTTATTTATTCCAAAGATTCAAATATTAAAGAATAAAATCTTTTTTATGTTCGCGAAAATGAACCATAAGTATGTAGACCTAATCCAATTAAATTGACTCCAAAATAGCATATCCAAATAATAAGAAAACCTATAGATGCCACAATTGCCGAAGTAGCACCTTCAAAAGTTCTATTTCTTCGAGTATGTAAATAAATTGAAAACACTATCCAAGTAATAAAAGCCCAAGTCTCTTTTGGATCCCAACTCCAATAAGATCCCCACGCTTCGTTCGCCCACAAAGCCCCCGAAAGTATTCCTATGGTTAAAAAGATAAACCCCTAAACTAATAACTCGATAACTCCCAATAATCTAATTCTTTACTTAATTGAATCTTATAAAAAATTGTTAGCCGAAAAAATATAATTCATTTGAAAAATATTTTCATTTTTTCTAAAGGTAATGACCATAAGTGCTACTGATAATAAGGAGCCACATATAAGAGCTGCGTAACCCACTATCATCATACTTACGTGCATTATTAACCACTGAGATTGAAGAGCGGGACTAATATTGAATATTTCTTAATTTCTGTGAAAAGACCCGAAGTAGCAAAAGCCTGGATAGAAAAATCAATTGGGCTTATTATTGTACTTAATAATTTTGTATTTTTTTTTAAATAGGAAAGGCTATTAATAAGAGCAAAACTCCAGGAAAGAAAAAGCAAAGATTCCGATAAATCACTTAGTGGGAAATGGCCTGACGAAATCCAATGAGTAGCTAATAATCCTGTTATACATAAAAAAGTTATGAAAATGCACTTTTCTGATGAATTAGAAAGTTTTATGTTTTCATCGACGAAAAAGATTCTCAAATAAATTTTAATTAAAATTGAAACGAGTATTATTGAAAGTGAAATATTACTTAGTATATGTTCTAAGGTTGAAACTATCATAAAAATTATTAAAAAAAATAAAATAAGATTTTAACTCTGAATTAGATAAGAAAAAAAATGAAAAAGAACAAAAGATTACTCTTATTTTTTATGCCGCTACTCGGACTCGAACCGAGATGCGCTAGCACTGCTTCCTAAGAGCAGCGTGTCTACCAATTTCACCATAGCGGCATGTTATTTACTTTCACTCATATCTTTTACCCATTTATAGAATTTATCGAAACGGAAATTAGAGTGATGGGCGAACCGACGGGAATTGAACCCGCGCATAGTGGATTCACAATCCACCGCCTTAATCCACTTGGCTACATCCGCCCCCAACTAAAATATGTTCTTTTCAAAAAGGAATCAATAAAGGAGCAATAACCACTTTCTTGTTCTAGACAAGAAGGCGGAATTGCTCCTTTATTCTATTTTAAATAGATTCCCTATCTATATACTAAGAGACAAAGTCTCTAGCCATTTGTAGCTATAACTTGGATAGCAGCTAGGTCTAGAGGGAAGTTGTGAGCATTACGTTCATGCATAACTTCCATACCTAGGTTAGCACGATTAATTATATCAGCCCAAGTATTAATTACCCGGCCCTGGCTATCAACTACGGATTGATTAAAATTGAACCCATTTAAATTGAATGCCATAGGTGCTGATACCTAAAGCAGTGAACCAAATACCTACTACAGGCCAAGCAGCTAAAAAGAAGTGTAATGAACGAGAATTATTGAAACTAGCATATTGGAAAATTAATCGTCCAAAATAACCATGAGCGGCTACTATATTATAAGTTTCTTCCTCTTGGCCAAATCGGTAACCTTCATTAGCCGATTCATTTTCTGTGGTTTCCCTGATCAAACTAGAAGTTACCAAGGAACCATGCATAGCACTGAATAGGGAACCGCCAAATACACCAGCTACGCCTAACATATGAAATGGGTGCATAAGAATATTGTGCTCAGCCTGAAATACAATCATGAAATTGAAAGTCCCAGAGATTCCTAGGGGCATACCATCAGAAAAACTTCCCTGACCAATTGGATAGATTAAGAAAACTGCGGTAGCAGCTGCGACCGGAGCGGAGTATGCAACCGCAATCCAAGGGCGCATACCCAAACGAAAACTAAGTTCCCACTCACGCCCCATATAAGAAGCTACACCAAGTAAGAAGTGTAGAACAATTAGTTCATAAGGACCACCATTATATAACCATTCATCAATGGATGCCGCTTCCCATATTGGGTAAAAATGTAATCCTATAGCTGCAGAAGTTGGAATAATGCCACCTGAAATAATATTGTTTCCGTAAAGCAGAGATCCAGAAACAGGTTCACGAATACCATCAATATCTACTGGTGGAGCAGCAATGAAGGCAATAATAAATACAGAAGTTGCGGTCAATAAAGTCGGGATCATCAAAACACCAAACCATCCAATGTAAAGACGATTTTCAGTGCTAGTTATCCAATTACAGAAACGACCCCATAAGTTTTGGGTTTCGCGTCTCTCTAAAACTGCAGTCATGATCAATTCTTGGTTGATTTAATAATCAGGGACTCCCAAGCACACGAAATAAAAAAAAAATAGAAGAAATAAAGGCTTGTTATTCAACAGTATAACACGACTTAGATATTCGTGTCAACCAATAGAGCTATCTAATTTGATTCCGCTTTAAGTCAAGTGAATTTTCTCCATCTCATTTAAGCATGACGATTAGGTACTCATAATTACAATCCGGAACTAGTTAGTTCGAGTAAAGAATGTTTTTGTGAATAAGTGTTCTTATATATATAAATTATCTATTATCTATATAAATTTTAAAAAAGTGAGAACTAAGCTTACCCTTGAATTAGACTTTTGTAAAAATAAAAATTTTTGCATCTCTTCATAATTTGGTAAAAATTTGAATTTGACAATATACATGAATTTTTAAAAATTAATCTGCTCTTTGATACAAACAATATCAAAATACCAAATCCGCCGCCTTTTATAAACTCGACTCCAATTTGAAGAAGCATTTGAAAACGTAAAATAAAAAATTTGTTCTTCCGATGTAAAAAATTCTTCTAAAAATTCCGAGCCCAAGCTTTGTAAAAATCGCGTACAGTACTTTTGTGTTTCCGAGCTAGAGTTCGAGCACAAGAAAGCCTAAGTATATACTTTATTTGATACAAACTGGTTTTTTTGGAAGAACCACTATAATAATGAATAAAATTTCGGCATATCCGCCCAAACCTTTGAATAATCTCAGAATCTGAGAAGTCGATCCAACCCGGTTTACTAATGGGATTCCCAAGTATATTACAAAATTTAGCTTTAGCTAGGGGATCCTAGGATAGGAATAATTGGAACAACAGTATCAAATTGATTAATAGCATTTTTTATTAAAAATGAATTATTTAACATTTGACTTCGTATTATTGAAGGGATTAATACAATACTTGAAAGATAATTCATAAATGAAAAAGAATGGATGGATAATTGATTTCTATTTATTCTTCCAGTATGGAACCAAATAGAAAAATAAGATTCCCAAAATTTTAAAATATAATAGTTCCATTTTGATATCAAAAGAAATGTTCCTTTTGATGCCATAATTGACTTTCCCCTATACCTACCATAATGCATTGAAAGATCCGGAGCCTTTAACAAACGGATACTTGCAGGAAAATCCTCTTCAAATACTTCTAAAAGGCATTTTATTTTTCCATAGAAAATATTCCGTTCCAAAAGTGCTCGAAAACTGATTGCTTTGAAATGAAGAGACTGGTTGCGGAGAAAGACAAAAACGGATTCATATTCATATAAATAAGAGTTATATAATAAGAAGAAAAGCCGCTCAGGTCTTTTTGTAAAAAGGTAATGGGACCTATTGGGATTATTCAAATTTTGAAAATTATAAAACTCATATAGAAAGAAGCGTAATAAATGTAAAGAAGAAGCCTCTTTTACCCAATACCGAATTATTTGAACCACAATTTCCTGATGAGGGGGGGAGGGGATTAGTAGATCTAATACCAAATTTAAATGTGATAAATTGTCTTCAAAAAAGGGAATATGGAATGAATTGACCGTAAATTATTACATTTTAAGAGTTTCGTTTTTTTGCGCTCTGATGATATGAATCTTAAAGAAAACGGAATTTCCAAAATAAAAGCAAAAACCTCAGCTAACTGGTTACAATAGAAAAACTTGCTGGTTCTAAAAATTTGACTTTTTTTAGAATAATAATGAGTGAGCTGTATCTGTTGATACATTTGAGTAATTAAGCGTTTCACAATTTGAAAACTAAATTTTTTTGTATAGCCTATATTTTTAGCAGAAATTGATCCTTTTAACCCACTTAAAGCACGATCATGAACAAGGACATAAATATACTCCTGAAATAAAAGTGGATACAGGAAATTCTGTTCTTTCGATCTCTCTAGCTGTAAATCTATTTTAAGTTCCTCCTTTTTTTTTTATTTTTTTTTACAAAAAAACCCTAACTATATACATTAAAATATACATTAAAATTTCGTTCTATTACAAACTATTACAAAAGAGCATTCTTTCTATCATATGGAACAGATTCACTGCTATCAAGCGAATAACCTATTATTTTCTTTATAAAAAAAGAAAAATGGTGGATGTAACAAGATAAAGGATCTTGGTTTTCATCTTTAAAGTGACACGTTGCTTTATACCACATTGTTGCAAACAACATTGGACCATAATATTATTTATTATAATTTGGAACCAATATGTACTTGATTAAATCAGGGAATCCTGAAAAGTCTCTAGTATTGGTTCGAGTTTTCTCTAAACATACTATCCATTTAGGTTCTCTATATAATTTACTTAGTTAGATAGATTCCTTTCTCTCTATTATTTCTATCTCAATAGACTATTTATATTTGATAGAAAAAAAAGATCAAAAAGGTTTGGGACGGAAGGATTCGAACCTCCGAATTCCGGGACCAAAACCCGTTGCCTTACCACTTGGCCACGCCCCCACTTTTACTGATATTCAATACTTCAAAAATTAAATAACCATTTGATGTTTGTCTATTGAATTTCAAATGAATATCAATTGGATTCTATGGTTCTGGTGTTTTTTTATGTATCAATTGATTTATTCTGTATATTCATATATTGTATATTTTATTATATATATTAAAAATATTGAAATATTTATAGCATTGTGAAGGGTCCAAAGAAAAAGAGGAATCAATATTTTGCGCCGCTCTACAAATTGTATATAATTTTATATTCATATGAATTATATAAATATCATATCTCAATAATTCATTATCTAAAAAAAAATGTTTTTTATGCTTAGTTTTATCTGTCTTAATTATGTCTTCTATTCGAGCAGTTTTTTATTCGGCAAATTACCCGAATCTTATGCTTTTTTTGAATCCAATCGTCGATTTTATGCCAATCATACCTGTTCTGTTTTTTCTTGTAGCTTTTGTTTGGCAGGCTGTTGTTAGTTTTCGATGAAATACTTAATTAAAAAATTGAGTCAAATAAGAAATTCCTTGCTTTACTAGGATTAGGACCATTCCCCATATTTAATTTGGCAAACTCTTATTTAAATTTGATTTATGAAATTTTTTTGTTTAGAAAATTAACTTGATTTCAACTTTGTTTCTTGGTACCTATATTACATATGTGGTCTCAAAATAGAAAATATATTCTATTTATTTTTTTTCAATAAAAAATATTGGAGATTTTTAATGCTTACTCTAAAACTATTCGTATACACAGTAGTCATCTTTTTTGTTTCTCTATTTATATTTGGGTTCCTATCTAATGATCCAAGGCGTAATCCTGGACGTGAAGAATAAAATAAAACGAATTTTAAAATTTTTCAAAAAAAAAAATAACGGAAATAATACGATCCACAAAAACGGAAAGAGAGGGATTCGAACCCTCGGTACGAAAAACTCGTACACCGGATTAGCAATCCGACGCTTTCGTCCACTCAGCCATCTCTCCAAATTTTATTTAGAGAATTCTTATTTTATAATACACATAGAACTCAGTAATTTTTTTTATTTGGATTATGCTTTTAAATCTATTCTTTAATTCATTATTAAAATCTTCTTATTATATATTTTTATATTATTTTAGAAAAATCTAAATTAAGAGTTAGAAGATGTTTTCTTTGGATTTTTATTTAATTTTTGAAATGTTGAAAAGTTTATTCTTGTTCGCACGGCCCGGTCCTTACTCCACGGGCGTTGTTTTCTAAGGAAGTAGAAAATCATTTTGAATTTCATATTGAATAAAAATGATTCTAATTTGAAAGATTTATTTGTAGATGCTCATGAATGAGAATCTTGTTGAAGGGGAATATAAAAATCACCTTGAATCTGATCTGATTATTTATTTTTACAAATAATTTTGAGGGGTAAGATGAAAAAAAGGAGCATCAAAGCGTCCATTGTCTAATGGATAGGACATAGGTCTTCTAAACCTTTGGTATAGGTTCAAATCCTATTGGGCGCAATTTTTTCATATATCTTTATTGTGTTTGAATTTCTTGATTGAAGTAGTTATTTAAAGTTTTTCTTGAAGTAGAAACCGATCCTTTTGGTCCGGAATATATTTTTTCAAAAGGGCTTCTGCTTCCATCGGTAAATGTATTAGTAGATGATATGATTTCTTGGAACTGAGGTTTATTAGTTTTGAAATAAGTATATAACTTAATAAGAAATTTGCTGATCTGTCCAAGTTCTAATGAATCAAGATACCCCATTTATTCCAGCATAAATAGTAATAATCTGCTCTGCCGCCGTGAGAGGAGCGGATTGGGATTGTTTAAGCAATTCGCGCAAACGTTGACCTCTTGCTAATTGATTTTGACTAGTTCTATCGAGATCAGAAGCAAATTGGGCAAAGGCTTCTAATTCAGCGAATTGGGCGAGTTCTAATTTTAATTTACCAGCTACCTTTTTCATGGCTTTAATTGAGCTGCAGACCCCACTCGGGAAACAGAGATACCCACATTAATAGCAGGTCTTATTCCAGCATTAAATAGATCGGCGGATAAGAATATTTGTCCATCAGTAATAGAAATTACATTAGTAGGAATATAAGCAGAAACATCTCCCGATTGCGTTTCTACTATAGGTAAGGCAGTCATACTGCCCTCCCCTAACTTAGAACTTAATTTAGCGGCTCTTTCCAAAAGACGTGAGTGCAAATAAAAGACATCTCCTGGGTAAGCTTCGCGACCAGGTGGTCTACGTAATAGAAGAGACATTTGGCGATAAGCTTGGGCTTGTTTGGAGAGATCATCATAAATGATTAAAGTGTGTTTTTTACGATACATAAAATATTCAGCCATAGCTGCTCCTGTATAAGGAGCGAGGTATTGGAGTGTAGCAGGGAATCCGCCATTTCGGCTACCACAATAGTATATTCCAAGGCTCCCTTTTCTTGTAAGGTAGTAACTACCTGAGCCACAGAAGATGCTTTTTGACCAATAGCTACATAAACACATATTACATTTTGACCCTTTTGATTTAGAATCGTATCCGTAGCTACTGCTGTTTTACCAGTTTGTCTGTCTCC